TCCTAAATTCTTCATCTATATACGATTTTTACGTTTTGACTTATGTTAGTTAGTGATGAAAATCCTAACCCTAAATTCGGAACATCAGCCTTAACAAGGAACAATGTGAAGATATTGAAACATTTGTTTGAGAAATTTTAAGGGTTCGAGAATATATGGGCAATCTATATCTATCTTTTACATCTAGAACTTGAACTGTGTACATAGTGAGCACTCGAACGCTTGAAACCTCCAGGCCACAAGTTGGAAGACAGAAAATCACCGAATAGAAATCTTATTCCAATCAGTCGAATATGGTACAAAACAAAATCATCATTACAATTATGCAATACTTATGCAGTGGTTTTTAGTATTTGTCCGATCGGGAAGAGATGATAGTGGTTAGCAGTGGGTTTCAGGATGCAAGTTCCGTCCTATCTGAGACTCATCAGCTGGATGTACCTGCACCCGGGAACTCAAACTCCGCTTCAAACGCCATCGGGTTATTCATTTAACTACAATGGGATGAGGTTTAATTCACGGGATCGAGGCACATCTAGCTAACGAGTCCTAGATTCCACTGGTAGCCACCATCCATTTCTGCAGATAATAACTATTCGTGAATTATCTTATTCATTCGTTTACACTCAACTAAATACACAATTATAATTCTAACATGACACTGTCAATAGTGCATATACATCACCATCTTGAAACATCGACTTCGGCGGCTTGGATATGTCTAAAAAATGTCAGATGAAAGACTTTTACTTCATGTACGAATTTCTGACGTTACAACTTGGTGGAAAAAGTGGATAGATGAAAAAAAGGTGTATAAGACTAAAACCGACCAGTCAATCCAAATTCCTTATTTAAGGTGCTAGAAATTATGCGAATTAGTGATTTCATACTTTACCAGAAATAGGAAAGAAAGCAGTCCATCATAGTCTACATAGAAGGTGATGAAGACTCTCTTAACTAATGTACATTCATCATGGTCATATCTCTATATTGAACAGTATGCTTGTTCACATTTTGCAAAAGTAATTCCTATCCTTCCTATACTTCGTTAAAACATTATAGCTTTGTTTGTTTTGTGCAAACTTTCATGGTGCCTGATTATGTGCAATAAACTAATAGTTAAAAAGTAGTCGTACCACAGAATCTAATTACTGGTGCGCAGTAATGACACAATGGAGCAACGTAAGGAGATGCAGTCCCATGGTAGCCAGTGACAAACGATTGGTTCATACGCCATTCGTTCCTTCAGGATACTGGAACCCATGTGCACCAATGGTTTAGAATGAGGGTTTTCCAACTCCCCCTAGATGAATCCTCTATATCCACTAACCTGATTAAAGAGCCGGACATTCGTTTTTCCTCCTCTCAATTTCATCAACAACATCCTCACCTCGAGAAGGCAGAGAGTAGGACATCCCTGACAGTGATTATATACATGTGCTCATGATAGAGCACTTCGAGAGAGAGAGATGACTCTCTCCACCCTCGGCTGTATCAAGGCATTTAGGGGCTAAGTTAAAGTAAAATATATGCGTCAATTGTTAGTATTTAAGATCAAGTAGATTAAAGTTAATAAATCAAACTTATTTTTCTAAGAAATACAATCAGATTTTCATGACAATTATACTATCTAAAGTTAATATATAAATGACTCTACTGATTGAATATCTGAAATATAAGATCAGTGGCTTAATCGCATTTACCTACAAAATACTCTTCTAAGCTTTTTAATATTATTTCATACTTTTTATTAGGAGGCGAGGTAGTTAAAATGAGATCATGCACAAACTAGGTTTCAGATCAATTAGTACTCATTGGGAAGAATTACCTATAATCGTAAAGGGAATGATATTTCCTATAGGACTCAAACCTGCGTCACCGACATAGTTTAAAATGTTGCCATTATAGTGCCCGGGTTGTGACTAAATTCTTGCAGAATCAGGACATTTACAGTTGATTGACCACCGCATCACCGATATTAATTTTATTATTATTATCATTATTAGTGGCTTTATTCAATATTATATTTTTGATGCGATATAAAATTCGCAGCACAAAGTATTTCACAGAGTTTCTGTTTCTTATTTCTTGATTGACATCAACGGTTAATATTGAGTGATCACCAGTTAGATATGAGCAGTTCATAAATCGACATTTGAATAATGGATATTCTTTTCGATGCATATTGTCAGCAACCACAATGTTTGTAATTGGGCTCTTTTGTAACAGCGAAAGGTCGTAAACTTTCCATAAACTCAACTGAATAAGTTATGCAACTAATAGGATTAATGATATGTTAAAACAAACAAGGAAACAGATAACTTATTAAAATATCCAGACGGCAGGAACAGGTAACCCAGATATTCAAGCAGGCCGCCTGTAAACATGGAGCGGTGTTTTTGAATACTTCTTTCAGGTATATATATATATATATATATATATATATATATATATATATATATATATATATATATATATATATATATATATATATATAAACTAACACTCACTTCACAAAATGGTATTTCACTTGCTGGATGTACAACTGGTTGACTACGACGAGGTTTATAAAAGAATCTATTGAATTCTTCATCTGATGAATTGATTCCAGCATTATTATTGAAACCATTCCCATGATACCTATGATATGCATTCTTAACACCTTTTCTTAATAATGACGATGATGATGAACGAGCAACTGTACGTGGTGAAGGAGCACAACTGGTCGATAAGCCAGTAAGACGATTTTGACACTCAAGCTAAAGTGAAAATTACAAACAAAATAGATTACGAGTAATGTTAATGATAAGAATGATAATAACTGTAGGCCGACAATGAAGTAGGCAATCAGATGGAATTATGGTTTGTTGTATTGTGATGGCTGATAGGAAAATGCTCATTAACATAAATTAATGGGTTTGCGTCTACAGTTCGGTGACATTTATTTAACTAAATGAACGTTCTAATATAGTCTACAACCCAATGGAAAATGTTACGACAGAGATAGTGAAGTATGGAGTAATCTTTTGCACAAATGCCAAGGTTATTCTACTAACAACGTTTGTGGTGTACCCAAAGAGTTAACAGACTCGACAGTGATATAGTATAAAACATCGGAAGATTCATAAAGGGATAACAGAAAAGATATGGCTTGAAGTTGATAATATTTCAATGGATAAGGAATTAACACTATAAACTTTCAAATGTCCCTTGTTTCTTTAGTAACATTTTATAATAGTCAAGTATTGTATTCATGTCGAAACCATAAAATGGGACATGGTGTTTGTAGAGAGTGTTGAAGTCTGAAATGTCTTTACATGATCATTCGCATGATCCATTAAACTGATGAACAAATAAAACGAACTTCGCTAATAGGATTTCAGTAATCACCTTCCAATGGACTCGTGATGTATCCTGATTACGTCGACAGATATAAGTAGTATGTAACAGTAATCAGAAATGAAATAACTAGCAGTAGAAGTTTGGGAAGATTGAACTAGAGAGAAGAGAGAAGGAAAATGAAAACAATCAAGTTAACAACAAGAACCAAAGAACAATGAAGACACAATTAAAAGATGTGTAAATGATGTATTGGATGTATGATGTTTACATCCGGTTTGAGCAATTGAATAGTATTACTATCACTCACACGTATATTGTACCTTAAAGACAAAACACGAACATGTACCTAGTGGAATTACTAATACAACTTCACAAATCAAGACATTTCATTACAGTTTCAAAAAGACTTACTTTGAAACTGGTGTAATAATTCGGCTTTCAATAAATAAGCAGGCTGTAGTTTAAAATACTATTACACTCATTCTCCAAATTGGAAAAACCGAGTAATAAAAGTGATAACCTTACTATGTAATAAAAGCACAAAAGTGTGTCGCATACATCCAAAATTTGATCTCAGATGTAATAACACTGAAACTAGTGGGAACTGGACAGCTGTTGTTTCATTGTAGTACAAAACATATCAACAGTGTACATATATGACCATAGCTATCGAATCTTGTCGATCCAAATCTGGTGTTGGACACATGCTAATAAAATAACATGTACTTATCATGACCACATGTTTACAATCACTGTCAGGGATATCCTACTCTCTGCCTTCTCGAGGCGGGGATGTTGTTCACTAATTTAAGAGGACAAAAAGCGAAGGACCGCCTCTTTAACCAGTTTGGTGGTTATGAAGGATCCATCTAGGTGACTTAGAAAACCCTGATTCCAAACCAATTATACACATTGGCTCCAATATCCTGAGGGAACGAATGGCGTACGAACCAATCGTTGGTCACTGGCTACCATAAGACTGCATCTCCTTACGTTGCTCCACTGTGGATTAGACCTCTAAATCAAAGGCTTAGAATGTGGTAGCCTCCTAAGAAAACCACATGCATCGGTTTGAGCACCCGGGTAGTATTCCACAACTCACACAAATAGAATCACGAAGTGTGATGCCATATATATTTAGTGTCTCCTTGTACTAATATCTATGTGTTTAAATGAAAATTGATAAAATATTAAATAAAATAATAAATCCTACACACACACACACACACAAACATACATTCATACACTACTATGATGAATACTACTAACAACCATTGAGAACATTAAAGTGATGATTTTCTTTTTCCCAATATACATATAATATTATTAAAATGGTATTACAGACAAAATATTCATCATTTAATGATGTAATCAAAATGACACATGTTACATCATAGATATGTAACAACAATAATAAAGACAAAAGGATGGGAGTGATGAAATTTTGTATTATCCATAGGAATTGCCTTTACAAAAAAACTAAGATTATGAGACATATTAGATTAGTTTTAGTAAAACCTTCATCTTTTTTGTTTGTTTGTTTGCTTCCATTATTCCTATCATGTTCATTGATTACTTTTCTTTTAGTGATGCTTTTAGTTTTGGCATTCTGAGTATGTTTTTTTTTCTTGTTTTTTTTTGAGAAAAAAAATTTTTTTTTATTCTTGAATTAATTTTAATTTTTCACCAGTACTCAATTGAAGATTGGAACCATGATGTAAAAAAAATTCATATTTTCCATAAGCATTTAATAAATCTGTAATAAGGATAACCTAAAAAGGTTTGAGAAAAGGTAAATGATGGAAAAGTTATTTACAATAGTAAAGAATAAGTTATGGCTAACAGTTTATTTATCTATTTATTTATTTAAACATATAAATATTGGTACAAGGGGGGCACCAGATATGTAAGGGCCACACAAAAAATTGTCATTTCATTAAATTGTGTGAGGGTTATGATACTTACTGCCCAGGTGCCCAGACCAGAGCATGTGGTTTTCTTAGGGGGCCACACCCCGACCTTTCGACCTAAAGATCTGATATACAAGGCAGAGGAACATTTTGTGGAGATGCAGTCCAATAGTAGCCGGTGATCGACAATTGATTCATACGCCATTCGTCCCCACAGGATGGCGAAGGTGCATCTGCTCATTGTGTTCTATTCAATTCTAATCTCCTGAATTCTTCATGTCCCTGTCATTTTTCTCTTTCCAAATTTATTTCACTGGATTATACTCTTTCAATAACATTTTCAAACCATAATCTTTCGGATTACTGCTAATACTCTTACTACTTCTACCACTATGGGATTCGAATCAACAACTGCATCTCTATGCTAATGTGGTATGGCAAGTCGAACTCATGTACGTACGTACGAAGTTCTACGTTGTGACTGACTTCCCTCAGGATACTGGAGCTCATGTGCACCATTGGTTTGGAATCAGGGTTTCGGGATATGGATCCTCCATATCCACTAACCTGTATGAAGAGCCAGACATGCATTTTGTCCTCTCAATTTCGTAAACAACATCCTCGCCACGAGAAGGCAGTGAGTAGGACTTAGCTGGCAGAGGCTGTATACGCGTGGCCATGTGAGAGCATTTCCAGAGGGAGGGCGGACTCTCTCCACTCTCGGCCGTACTAAGGTACTAGGGATGCCATGTCTAGCAGTAGAACCTAAGATGTGCGTTTCGGACTGCTTAAGAAATGTCTATACATTTTAGTGCTCATAACTTTATTAGGACTCCAGTCCATTGAGATGGTAGAGAAGATTTGTAGCTCAGGTGGGTGATTTTGATGTTGACGACATCATCAGCACAAACTTCTACCCGAAGTTTGTGCTGATGATGTCGTTCAGAAGGACGATGAAAGCTCCACGACCAAGCCATCCAGCTCAAAGAACAAACCAACATCAAAAACTCCAGTCCATTATCTTCCGGTTTAAATGCTCAACATGTTTCATCTACTTAGCTACTGAAACCACTGAATGAATAACATATTTAATGAATATGATATTTATATCATAATTAATAAGTGTTTGATTTATCCAGTTATTGGTGTTCTCGAGTGAATTTTGATCAGTCCTTGTGTTTGAATCCCAATTTTGACATTAATACTACGATCCAGATAACTCCATGAAATCGACGAAACAGGGCAATAAGCACGTCTCAGTTTCCACAACTAGCTATAACCTATTGATTACACAAACCAGTTGAATAGGTCACTTTCTGAAAAGTTAACACTTGACTATAAGATCTAACCTAGCCACATTGCATAAGTTCATCGACTTAATATGTGTGCATTTGACATGTCAGATTATGTGTTAGCATTTCTTCACAGATTTTCGTCCCATCTTTTCGTTAATTCTCCATCGCTTTGAATTATGAACAAATTGTTTTATTTCTGGATTCATATCATTTTCACTTTTCTGTTTTATACAGAATTAATTCATGCACATTAGGTGGTAGGGAGTCAGGATGAAGGCCTGAAAGTAGGTAACGGGCTAGTTGACTGTCATCAGAAGAGCTCATTTGTAGACTCGGCAAAACTGATGGCCCCTGTAAGATTCAAACTGGCATCGAACAGCTTTGCAGTATGACACGTTACTACCAAGCTGTTAGGACCCAATTAACTTACCTTAGCATTGAGATATTTACAACGGATCGATTACTAAATAGTGCTCAAAATCATATTTGTATGGTTCATTAGTGTTGACTGAATTTTACAGATCAAGTTGCAATACAGTTACTAGTCAAGCTGACACAATTAGCACAAAATGGCTAGAAAAACATCATATTATCTGATTGCTTTTTTCACTTACCTGTCCAAATGCATGCACCAATGATGCAGCGAAATAGAAATTCGCATTTCCTGTACCCGGTTGCAACCAGATGTAATGAAATAATGGACTAAGAATCAATGCAGTCAACAAACAACACGACGAAATAAATAACATTCGGGTTTCTGTACAAGAAAAAGATAGTAAACAAAGAGGCAGAAAGTGACGAAAACAGAAAATGATAAATGTGTCTGAAGATAATACAGATTGAGATGTTAGATGGTTGTCAGTGGGAAACTCTATTTTACTTAGGTTATCACTAAGATGTAGCTGAGGGATTCAATTCCTTAACATTGCCTTTCAATGCCGTCTTCAGTCAAATAACTTTGACCCTTCGATCATGGGAAACAGTTTATCTACTCAACCATAACTTTTGACAACAGACGTACAGATGCACCAACACAGCGGAAGAAGATAAGTCACTCGTGTTTAACTTTTGAGGTCACGGCCTGTAAGAGGGATCATGACGCCATAGAAAGTGTTGTTGAATCTATTATACGTACTGAACCCAATCCTTCTACCTTTCATTCCGTTAGAGTCCTGACTGAGGACCTAGAATATACAGAATGACATTTCACGTTAACCACTTTACAAGTGAGTGACAATTGACGAACTAACGTCGTTCCAAATAGCCCAATTGTTTGATTATAACCTTATGGTAATCCACATTAAACTACTTTTTCATAATACAAGAATTCATATTATCACAGCTGGTCACATTTATATTGACAGGTAGCTGGGCTTGCCTATCGTGATGAACCAATCGAGCTATACAGGCTGGAACAATCGTTCCTCAAGGTCCTACCATCAAAGCTTGAAGTCACTAACTTCTAGTCTGAGCCATGTTGGTAGGTGCAGACTACATGGTTGGGGTCTGCGTGATCATCGTAACCAATGGTTGGAGATTCTAGGTGATATGGCTCAGAATCGATCACAATGGCGTAGGTGTATACACTCTTTATCTTCCCTTAAACCATGAGATTAAAATTGCTTCAAAACTTTCTTCCTTCCTATACTATATCCTTAAATGCTACCTTTCTTTTACATATTACCACCACTAAATTCACTACTTCTATGAATCCAGTGTTCATCTTGTTGTGGTAACAATGTATGGCAACTTGGACCGATGCATATGTGTGCCTGGTCCTACGTTGTAGCTGACTGACTGACTACGTAATCTAAAACATAATTGGGTACGCCACACTTAATAAAAATTGAATATGTTTTAGTAAATTTCAGCGTTGAATGAGAAACTCACGTTTTAAAAGATGACTCCACATTGGTAGAATAGATATTAAGAGGCCAAGTTCTCCAATATTATGATATGGTTGTAATACATTGATAATAAATGATATTACAAGGCATATATATAACGGATTACGACTGGTTAGCATAAATAGAAATGTAAAGAATAGGAGCATGTGAACAACAATGACGAAAATTGGTTTCAGATAAAATCAAATAGTTTTAATAAATGGTAAGCAAAGATGGATAGTGGCTCGCAGTGGAATCCAGGACGCGCTTTCCGTCCTATTTGGGACTCGTCAGCTGGATGTACCTGCATCTCAGAGTTTATGTTCACTCTGGGACTCGAACCCTTTCGCCTTACTGGGTTCGCGCGTCCTAAATTCCACTGCTAGCCACTATCCATCGTTGCTTACCATGCTTGTGAATAAAGGCTATATCGAGGCAATACGCACAGTATGCACATATGCCAATTAAAGACTGACCAGTTGCAGTCCTAAAACATCAATGGGAAGATTCAAACAAACAATACTAAGTGAGTTTTACTAAATAATAATTCAATTTGACAGTAGTATATTTTGATCATAAGCTGTCAAACGAACTCATGAGCACATAATGTTAAAAACAGAAGAAAAACGGCTTTCCACTATCTCTATTTAGTATTTTAGTGCCCGGAATAGGAGTAAGACGTCAAAAGAAAGAATAACACTCAAGGAACATCTAGAAAAGAGAGACCAGAACAAATTTGATTGAAGAGTTCTAGTCAGTAGCATATGCTCCACGAGGAGTAACAGGTTATATGTAGAGCTTTGATTCATGCTATGCCGCGTACTACTAGACTACTTGAATGATCGAAACCGCAACGTCGCAACAGAGAAGACAGAAGACTAGTAAGTAGGAATGCTATTCTCCAAAACAGTGTCAAATATCGTCCAGAAATCTCATGTTTTTATAGTTTTTTGGCTGAAAGTATATCATCATTTTGGACAGCAAATAGGTACATATAGGGTCATTCTTATTCATCCAATAGGGAGGCTACATGTCGACATCCTAGAATGTCCCCCTAGTGGTGATTGGATGGAATGTCTTCGGCTCTTTCTGGGCTTCCTGCAGTTCGCCAATGAGCCATCCTTACACAGGTCAAACTAAATAGATGAAATGATAAGTCATTTAGCCACTGCTTTCTGTTAAGAGAAAATTTTGAGACTGAACTCCAAATAAATGACGAAATTAAACCTACAGCATTATCTTTTTATCTATCATAATGACTAACTATCGACTATACATGGACCATTCATTATTTTTGTATTCATCAACTTTATTGAAGCAACAAGAAAGTGATCCATTAGCTCATTGATTAAGTTGCCTAAAATAGCTACCACTCTACATGGTTGCGAAACTAGTTACATGATATATTTAGCTCGGACAATCAAGTTTCTATCTATGCTTCCACTTCATTATTATTAGTATTTGATTCCTTCATCAAAATGTCCTGTCAGTGATTTCCAACTTGAAATGATGATGTAATTTCTGATAACTTGTGATAAAACACAACTATTTCACATTTTTCACATTAGATCAGGAAGAGATAGATTTGAAACCTATACAGAGGTGAGCTTCCTTTTTATGCATAACGTAAATTAGTTTGCGACGTGTATACTCAATGATATTCTGGAATGTTAAGTTATGGTTTTTTAAGAACGCTTTTAAAATAGACTAATTTAAAATCAGTTATTGGGCAAGTCAACTGCAGATAAGATGCCCTGTTACACATACAAGGTTACAGGAACTCCGTATGACCTTTAGTATCGGTAACTATGGCAAGCCCATATAACTTATTCTAGCTTCTGGACAGACCAATTTGCCCATTCTTCTCGAGTCACGTTTTGACATTGCTAATTATTCACTTATCAAACTTGACTGTTTTCATATGTGTGTACACATCTCATTCATCATATGTCTGTAGCTTATTTTTGTGTGACTATAAATATCGATTAACGCTTGGTTAAATGGAGTTGCCTCACACGCCTTCTCCACTGCACGTCATTTCGCTCCACTCTCTTCTATTCACTTCGACTCTCTGATTGTCTGTCCAGAACAATGATTGCAGAAAATATACATATTCGGAATCCTTTTCCGTATTTGACTTATTTTTAATTCCGTTATTCACGAGATGTATATTTCGAAAGCGGTCATTCATACAATCTAATTGGAGTAAGATTTCGGGCCACAACCCCTCTCGAAATGCTATCATATGGCCATTAACAAAGAAGTCTTACTTACTTGTTTGAGAAATCTAGAGAACGAAAAGCAGACGTCCAGTGATTCAACCCGGTTCATGGGTACAGGGGATTCATAATCGGAAGTTGGAAAAACCTGATTCAAAACCGATGATGTACATAGGCTCCTAAATCATGAGGGAACAAAGGGCGCAAGAACCTATTGATGGTCATTGGTTAACGTTGGACCGTATCTCCTGACGTCGCTCTAATGTCTTGTGGATTAAGGGTCTCTAGGTCAAAGGCTTGAAGAATGGCCATTAAAGAGAACCACTCATTGCAGTTTGGACAACCGGATGGTATCACAGGCTGCACACAAAGTGAACGATAACTATTTTATTTAGCGTATATATATTTTGGAGCTCCTTTGTACCGATGTTTATTGTTCGATTGAACAAATAGTAAATAAAAAGACAAACCCTTGGAGGGTAATTCAGTGAAATCAAGGCCAAGTGCACAGGTCAAGACTTCAAGAACTTGGATTCGATCCACCGGGTGTTGTGAACGCCTACAATTGAGGAATCACAAACTGGAAATAACAGCTTTCTAATGCTATACAGTTTCAATAGTTGTCAATATAATTAGAGTTTATCTTTCATAGTTGAAATCATGAGTCAATTGAAGCTAGACCACCATGGAAAAGCTGAATGCACTGGACGACCATTTTGTCCCATAATAGGACTCCTCAGCAGTGCGTATTTACGATCCCGCCTCGCGAGATTCAAACCCAGGACATACCAGTTTCATGACTCATGATTTCAATTATGAAAAATACTGAAATCTCCACAAAACCCCTTCTGATTAGAATTTATTTACTAATAAAAAGCAACGATTAGTTAATGGGTCAAAATAGGAAAACTATTTTATAAAATTATAAAACTAAGATATTACAGATTCAATTACTAATATTATTGTTATTTAAAAAAAAAAATTCACTTACTTAAATTTAATTGTCAAACCAACTACTATAGTGAAAATAAGTAGTTGAAAAACCCATGTGAAAAATTCACTGAAATGATCAAACATTTCAACAAACATATACCAAAAGATACCCATTTGAGGTGTACAATCAGTTATAGTGATACTGAAAAGAAAATGAATTATATGAGAGAACAATGAATTTTCAATAATAATAATAAATATGATTTAAAAAGTAAATACAAATTCATTATGACGGACGGTGTCCGATAAATATTACTGACGCATAAACATTCTAGATGCAAACCCCTCAAGATTATCTTGAGTGTTGGTTGGAGTTATTAGACCGATTGTCTGATCTTAGTTGCCCGAACCGTTGAACGATATTTCATTGTAAAGAACCTGATAAGGATACATGAAACGCCTTACTACTATCACACCACTATACAGTCAGCAGTACAATTTCAACCTCGAACATGAAGTTGCTGCTTTTTGCCTTACTGTTCTCCAAATGACCTATCTGGAATTGTACAACCTAAAAGAATATGTGTTCTCGGCAATATAATTCAATTGAGTAATCATGAGAGGCAAGCACGACCACCACTTCAAGTTAGCAGCTACAATTGGGATACCTACGGTGCTGTCGAACAAAAATTATGATATGTAAAACAATCTAATTTTGACTTTTCATCTCATCATATCAGTGATACGTATGTCGACAGAAATAAGTAGTATGTAATACCAATCGGATGTGGAATGTCTGTCAAAAGAAGGTTGAGATGATTGAACTGCACATAACAAGGGAGAGAAACATAAAGAAATCGACAAGTGAAAGAATCATGAAGGGTGTAAAAGACAATTGAAGGAAGATTTGTAAATGAAGTATTTAATGTATGGTTTTCACATTTTACGAAAGAACTCTGTAAATTGGTTATCTCCATTTGAGTTCTTGTTCACTATGACATTATTAACAATGAATGTAGGATAAAAGATATTCAAAAGCCTGCATTTGTTTACTGAACTACATATAAAGAAGTTAAGAACGAAACACTTAGCTAGTGTATGACATGTCTGGTACTTGAACGCTCACTAATAATTTTCTAACTGATTACCAACCCCGTAGAACTCAGTCAGTCAGTCACAACGTAGAACTTCGTATGTCCGTACATCAGTTCAAGTTGTCATACCATATTAGCATAGAGATGCAGTTGTCAATTCAAATCCCAGAGTGGTAGAAGTAGTAAGAGTATAAGCAGTAATGTGAAAGATTAGGGGTTGAAGATGTTATTGAAGGAGTATAATGCAGTAAAATAAATTTGAAAAGAGAAAAAAGATAGAGACATGAAGAATTCAGATGATTAGAATTTAGTAGAACACAAAGAGTGGATGCACCTTCCCCATTGTAAACGATTTTGACCCAAGTCCCCGTAGAACTATCAGGCCTGAGCCCTAAATTGAAAATAGAGACCGGAAGTATCAAAAGAAGTTTAACTTCAAACGTTAGTTTCGGGTACAGAAAACAAGGATATCCACAAGTTCATATGTCATCTTGATATTGTAGGAGCTACTAAAGATATATTAAAATTAGTACTAAGATCGTTAATTATTCATTTAGGGTATACAAATCGTTTTCTAAAACTCTCTACGAAGTTTTCATAGAATACTGACTACTAGAAATATTTTCACACTTTTCCTGATCTATGAAAGAATTCTCGAGGGCTCCGAACAGTATATATAACAAATATGATAAGAAAAAAGTATCATGAGAATATCTATGATCAGAATGTTGGGGATGTTAAATCCCCAAAACTTACTTGGTAAACGGCCTAATTTTGTAATTCGCGCCAAAAGCGCTTCATTCATCTTCGATTCGTATTTCTAACTTCGAAATATCTTAAACGTTATTGGTCCGTTGTATCTTTTTTGTGTTATTATGCAACGCTTCCCAAGGACAACTTTATACTGTATAAATACGTTTGATTTCTTCTTATTGTGATTGCTTGCAGTTTGGCTGCTTACAGAATATATTTTCCCCTACTTTATCTTGGACTTCTCACTGTAGTTAACAGGGCCTGAGACAACAGATTAGATTAACCTATCGTGTCACTATGTCATTAAACTTCGTTCTTTTACCGAGGAAATCATAATTACCATCAAAAATATCATAGAAGAAATTATATAAAATTCAAAACTCACGTATTCCAATAAACTGATGTTAAAAAACTCCAATCATGATTTTGTATAATATAACTAATCCATAATAAAATTGAAATACTTCCAATGAAAGTAACCAATGGTAATAGGAGATTAGATAAAAGAGAAATTATCCCTTTCGATGGATTAGGATACTGCTGTTAACAATAAAGAATATATACATACATATATGAATACAATGAATAATGAAATGTACAAAAGAGGTTTTCTTTTCCACAAACGATTTACTTAAAGGGAGCACATACAAAAAAATGTGATCATTCAAGATGTACAGAATTTCAAAAAGAAAATAAACAGTAACCTTCTCATGCTTACACAAGTATACTGTGTAGAATTGTAATGGTAATGTGATACACTTGACTAAGTAATATATACATGCCCCCAAATGCCTTGGTACGGCCGAGAGAGGGGAGTCTGCTCTCTCTCTCCAAATGCACTCATATGGCCACGCGTATATAGACTCTGCCTGCCAGGGAAGTCCTAGTCACTGCCTTCTCGTGGCATTACTGTTGTTTACGAAAGTGAGAGGACGAAAAGCGAATGTCTGGCGCTTTAACCGGGTTAGTGGGCACGGCGAATCCACCTAGGAGAGTTGGAAAACCCTGATTCCAAACCAATGGTGCACATGAGCTCCAGTATCCTGAGGGAACAAATGGCGTATGAATCAATTGTTGGTCACCGGCTTCCATGGGATTGAATCTTCTTACGATGTTCCTCTGCCTTGTAGATCAGATCTTAAGGTCAAAGGCTCCGAGTGTGGCCCCCTAAGAAAACAACCTGCTTCGGTTTGGGCACCTGGACAGTATCACAACCCTCACACAAATCCACTGATATCCATCTTCGATAGTAATGCTCATTGAAGTGCGGAGCTGACACACTGAACACTTCTCATAGAAGCACCGTGTAGCTAGTCTTCGGTAGTTGTCCCTGGGGCTCTGCAGTCACACTTCCATGTCATCAAGACGACCCACTGACCCAATATCCTTAGCAGGTTCCTTAAGTAGAAATATCCCTACCTATTTTATTTTATTTATTTATTATTAGCTTTATCCAATATTATACTTTTGGTACAATATAAAATTCTCAGCACAAAGTATTTCACAGAGTTTCTGTTTCTTATTTCTTGGTCGATATCAACGGTTAATATTGAGTGATCACCAGTTAGATATGAGCAGTTCACAAATCGACATTTGAATAATGGATATTCTTTTCGATGCATATTGCCAGCAATCACGATGTCTGTGATTGGGCTCTTTTGTAACTTGTACAGAGAAAGGTCGTAAACTTTTCATAAACTCAACTGAATAAGTTATGCAACTAATAGGATTAATGATGTGTTAAAACAAACAAGGAAACAGATAACTTGTTAAAATATCCAGACAGCAGGAACAGGTAGCCCAGATTACCAAACAGGCCATCCTTATTTATGCGGACTACTAAGAAGTGACAATCGGCCTAATACCTCTAACCAACACCCAAGACCGTCTTGTTCACGATTAAATATCTCAGTGGGTTTTACTATTTTCTATTAAACATGCGAAATTGACTACAGAAAATGAAATAAGACAACAAATTGTTAGAAACGGAAGAATTCTCTTCACTTCTTTTCTAGATACTCCTACTTATTTCATACGTTTAACAACAAGTAATATGTATAGAAAGAGTAATGATAAGTCTGGTCTAATGCTGAACAAGAATAAACTTGTAACATAGAAAATTAACACATAAAAAAGTTAACAAAGAATATAATAAGTAATTTCTCAATATCACACTAATTCTCAACAATTAAACTGTCAAGTGTTTAAACGTAAGATAGTTATAGGCAATCAACAGGAAGCCAACGTAAGACCAAAGTTTTGTGCTAGTTCACTATTTAGCATACCTGTATTCTTGAGGAAACTAATGCCCCCTAGCGGATGCGAAAATATGGTTGTCAGCTCTTATAATGAAACAAAACCTTTCAGCTTTTCGGTTTGCAACTAACCTGTTTTCTGTTCACTACCTCTGACAAATTAATAATTCAATATGCCACTGGGGCGTAACATTTTATCTCCAGAGAAAAAACGTTTACAAATGTAAATCCCTCAAAAAATCTGAGATTTGTAGGTTAGTGGATGACCTATTAGTGTTTGAAAATAAAGATACTGGGTTCGAGTCCCTATTTGAACACTAGCAGTGGATGCAGATACACCCGTTTGAAGAGTCCCAAACAGGACGAAGCGCCCGTGTTGAATGACACTGACAGTCTTCATTCATCTATTCTACTCTAAAAACGGGGTGAAATATTATTTCAAGCGAAATTGAAATACATGGGATAAAACTAGGAAACAGGATGAAAACATCGACTAAACTATACAGAAATGTACAAACTTTCATACTGGTAATATTTGAAAATCGGTTCGTTTTGTGAAGGATTCAATCTGAAACCTTACAGAACTATTATCAAAGTCCAAAGTAATCGGAAATTACCATTATTTTAAACAAAAGAATGAGATAAATGAATATCTTACAATGTAAGCGGCAGCTAAAACTGGAAACATTAAATATCCTGGATATATACGAATGTAACATCCAACAGCGCAAAGCGCAGCAGCCAATAACAGATGACCTAAACAAAAATTTTAAAAAAAATATTCGCGGTTAATCATTAACTCGCAATGGTTAAATAAAAATATGGCATCTATCCATGAAGTCACTAATTGCTCATTTAAGCAATATTATCAAGCGTAAACTTGTGTGGGTGATGCTTATGGTTATAGTCATGTTTTATGATTGGGAATATTGGATGACAACTTAAAGCCAGTTGAACAAACCCCAGTTGCAATTACGAAGAGGTAGCTTATTGTTTAAAGAGTTTGATTTTCAGCAACTAAGTCTCATGTTCAAACATGGCTTTGACTAATTCAGTTTGGGCAAACAGGTATTATCACTTGGCCTAACACTAAACATATGTCACTCGAAGCCAAAGCACACGAGTATATGCCTGGAAAATGACAATCACCTTGTCTCTCTTGCTCTGTTTAAATTTGCCAAGGGATATGGTCGTATGATGATGAGGTTTGCAATCATTATTTATAGACCCAAATGTTAAGGTAAGGATAATTCAAGTCATTTCATTTGTTGTTTCTACTTTATTCTCGGACGGATACCTCGTCAAAATACCAAAGAACGATCTCAGCAACCGAGAGAACTACAGAGGCAACACACTACCATCAGTACAAGGGAAACTGAACGTCCAAATTCGAGATAAATATGTTGGCTTTCGAAAAGATCGGTCATGTAGCGACAAAACCGCAACACTATAGATCATTGTTGGTATCAATACCAAGCTTGGAGATGATAGTTTCAAATAAATTGAGCAGTGGGTACAGAGTTAATGATAAACATATTTTTGTTATATCCCAATGAGTAGGAAAATTGTATTTGTGACATTTCGTGACTTAATGTAAGCCACTTCTTCAGAGCAAATAAATAACCGACATTAGATTAACATAAGTTTCAAAAAAAACAATCAACTGAATCGAACTCATCGCTACATTAATTCCCTTGACTATGAGAATGCGATGGATAGAATCGATAGTAGAAAATTGTGTAAACTCACACGACATTATGGTGTGTCCAAGATCATCGTCACCATCATACGTAGCTTCCATGAGACTGAGTTGATTACACAGTTCACAGATGCATTCTAAGTAAACAATAGTGTCAGATAATGTTCCCTACTCTCGCCTTTTCTCTTTCTTCTGATGGTTGACTGGATTATGAACACACCCATATCTCATGGAATTCATTTTACTCATTTATTTAAACACATAAATATTGGTACAAGGAAGCACCAAATACATATGCTCCACACAAAACTCATTTGATTTGTGTGAGGGCTGTGATACTGCCCAGGTCTCTAAACTGAAGCACTACGTGAAAGCACTTTCAACGGAATCAGAAGAAATGACAATGAAACTAACCTCTGCAGACAGATAGATTGATCCATAGAAAGACAATATTGTACACTACAGATGTCGACTGAGCAGCTGAAATCAGTATCGAGTATGGATTAAGCGCGTACCTGTGAGTATTAACAAGTTCAACAAAAATCAGATTTACCAACTTTAATAAGGTATTGCCTTTTGGTGAAGCATAAAACAGAATATAAGTATGTTTCCTGATCATTCAATCAAGAGAACGCTTGGCGGTATACAATGTTTATATTAAATAAACAATCGCATTGCAATTAATTGATTCAGAAAAATAAAATCCACTGGGATTCATTAAAATTACGAGTCAATAAAAAGGACAGCACAGATAACACATATTTCAACCGTCTTAGTTGGTGAGGATTCTTTATCCCACCAACTGACCATTTTTTGGATGGTAGGTACTTTAGAACTAACTGCCATCTACCAGTCAACCTTTCTAGCATAGTAGGATTTAGAAGAACGCGGATTTTGACTTATACAACTCGATTGGGACAACGCAACAGACAAACTAAAGACCATCTAAGCTGGACCACTATTGGAAACCTGCAAGCACTGAACAGCCGTATCGCAACTGTGTGGGACTTTCAAGCGGTGTGCACCCAGAATCCTGCACGCGGGACCGGAAATCAAGAACTGCAGCTTCACGCGCTAGCGCTTAGCCTCTAGACCATCGAGCCAACATCCAAAAGTTAATGTCTAATTTCAGTAGATCCATGAACTGAAGTAAACCAAGAAAGAAGAAACAATCATCTACTAACTGCACTTACAAAACGCTTTAAAAGTAGCGAATGATACCTTCACAGTCTTAGATAAGGGCTTTTTTACAAATATCAAGTTCCCAAAGTCTACCTACAAACTCTTTATATCGTGCAGTTTATCACGACATCATTAACAACAATGAGCTCACATTCCCCAGTCTGCGTAAAAGCCTACGAATCCAGTTTTCACAACATACTATGAAGATCGATGAAGCAGCCTTGTTCACTATTTACTGATGACATACTAGAATGTCATAACTGCTGCTAGTAAAACTAAATTGATTTGACACAAAATAGTGAACAGTTTAATGTACTCCATACTAGGTTGGCTTAATAAACAACGAAACGTTAGGTCAGCATTAAAAGCCTAGTTAGTATAAATGGGAAATATCGTTTTACCAATAGTTGGTCACAACGGAGGAAACGGTTAACTCATGTTGTCAATGTTACTGAACAACATGAGAGAAATCTTGACCACTTAGACCCATAATAGGTCAATATTTCCATAGGTTGTAATATTTATTAAGGTCAAACACGCTTACCATATCACTGAAAGTGCCTGAAATTTCTGGAGATCTATTTCTTTCAATAAAAGGTGTTTTGATGAATGGTGTACGGAAGACTTGTCACGATGTTGAATCGAGAGAAAACAATTAAACATCGACCCACAAAATATGAACAAGGAAATCAGCAAGATGAATTCAAGAGCCTAGGACAGTAAATAATCAACTTAACTACGAACCAAATGATAATAAGTCGCATCTCCATTCGTCAGCTTCAATAAGTAAGACCACATTAATAGCAACAAAGGAGGCTATCAATCCAAATTCGATTTTAATCTATTCTAACCTGATGTACTACATCCCCCTCATAGGCAGAAATCCCATGGTTTTGTAAATATATCCCTTCATTGACTAGGCCAATTAAATATTTTATTTCGAACATACCAGAGTCCCACTGATCTAATGATGAATATGTGAGACTATCTAAAACGTTTTTCGATGCATATTTCTTGACCAAATTTCTAAGGATTAGTCCAAAAACCATAGACAACAAACAATCCCAGGTCATTTGCGAAACCAGCTGTTAGGTCGCAAGTGAACTCAGATGAATAAGATAAACAATTTTATAACTAACAGATAACCAATGTTTTGTAGTATACACGTTGACATACGAAAACAAATGAAAATACAAAGAATACAACTTTCGTAAATGATTAGATTATATGATGATTCATCAATCAGATTTGGCACACAATTTGAATTCTTGCTATATTTCTGTTGCGTTTAATGTGTCAGATGTGCACGTTAGGCTCATATTTAGCTCTTTTCAATCTGAATTGGTTTCTGAAGTGCTTTTCATACGTTTTGTACTTCGGCTCTTACTATTAGAAGATCTTCTGTTGGTGCGTATCTGAAATGGTTCAAATGGTTGTAAGGTTCTGGACGGAATAGAAGAAGCTTTCGCTAGACGGGATTCCGTATTTAGTAGCAGTAGATCATCTATGCCTCCAAGTAGGAACCTTGGTATATTAACTACGAAAGGGGAAAAAGAGCGTCAGCGTTTTAGCGTTTTTTTAGTGAATTGGTTTTAGCGAGGAAAAAGAACAAGTTGGTTAATCATAGTAAGATACTGTCATTAGTCCATTAGAGTATGTCACATTTTCTCCCAAACGACTCCCTGGAAGTCGCTTGAACTGGCTCAGCCGGTAGCGAATTCCAGAATTCCATTACACTCAGGATTGAAAGTTGTGTCTACAGTCCGTTCAGCTATGTTTTATCTCCAGTTTCTAAGTATAAACCTAAGTTTCGTGTTGTGACTAACCTTAAAAAGGTGTCCAAGGAGATGCTCAGAAGCGCCAAGGGTGCTGTAAATCACTAGAAGGTCACCTCTAAAGCGACCATACTCTACGAGGTAATAAATCAGTGATTAAAGGCGCTCTGCATAAGACGAATCTGAAATGATTTCTTGGCTTGCCGTTTCATACGTTTCAGAATGTTCTTATCGTTTTGAAACGATAGAGGAGATTCTATGTTTCCGTACTGTAAATCGAGACAAATAAAATTGTCGAAGATTAGGTGGAATGTTCTCTCGTCATACTGACAGAAAATACGCTTAAGACTTCAGATCGCAGGGTATCAACACTCCTAAATGTTCTACGACTTGGAGTACCTTTTCAGGAGAGTTGTGGTTGTAATCTTCAACATGTCTCAGATGGACCACTTTACACTTTGAAGTGTTTAAAGTGAATCCCTTGTCATCTGCTCAACTTTGAAGATGAGTCAGATCCTTCTGAAGCGTCAGTTTATTTTCTCCGTCGCATGGATGAATGGAGTTAACCCTGACCATAAAATATCACTTTTTTAGGGGTGATGTGAAGACGACATGATAACTAGTCGTTTGAGCTTATTGATAAGATATATATGGTCGACTCTATCGACAGCTTTTGAGAAGTACAAGTTTGAACATTTCCTATCCACATCAAAATGCTCATAAAGGTAATTCAAAGTAATCAATGTGGTCGACAATTCAACCTCTTCACCGTCGAAGATGGTCTACGGTGTGAAAGACACAAGAGTTGATTTCATAAGATTTTACAAGCGTTGTTGCAAGCGGGCTTCACCACAGTCGTGAAAAGAATGATGCCTTTCTAGATGAAGACCTCAAGCTTCTAACTTCTATGGAATGATCACGTCCGTTCAGTATCAGGATTTGTCGCCTGAGGAATAAATCCTAAGCCTGATCAAAAATTTGCATGACTAAACCGCCAATCAGAACACCGACTTATACGACCTCGGCAGCATGCCAAACCAGTAAAGCGTTAAGCAGTACGAACAGTCTACAGTCGATTTCAAATCCACTTTAATTCACACCACCTCACCTTGCCCGTTTGAGTTCACAACGCAATCTCAAACCTACTGTATGAATCGTGTGCTTCAGACACACTCAGTTCAGATACGAGCGAATCAAACCACATCATAGACAGCAAACATGATGGTGTGGAGGTAACTTCAATCCACCCATGTCTGTAGATCAGAAAATGTTAAATTACAGCCTCTTATGTCAAGTGAGATGTCACGAATCAACGGTATTGATGAGAACATGTTCATGTAAAATACCTCTTTACATCGTGTTTAGAACGCTGAATTGGTTCCACTTCCTACCAATTAATCCTATTACAAGCAAACTAGATAGTTGGCTAGAAACGAAGACCACTCCATACCCTTTAAAATCTAAAAACAGAAAAAAAGAGTTCAAATAGCTTTTAAAAAAGGGAGAAAGCCATTTTTATCGAAATACTGTTTTCAGCGCTTTACTTTCTGATTACACATATTTTCACACTTCTATCTGAACTACCTTCATTTATACAGATCCTTATCCACTCATACTTTGTTTACACTTATTTTTCTTTAACACATTAGTATTGAGGATGCAACGGATGTTCTAGTTTTACAACTAGTTACCAGTAGCACCTTCTATATTCGATCGTTCCCAGTCAGATAGAAATCAGAAGTCAGACGAGAAGAGGCAGGAAAGATATATTTGATTCGTTACCAATATATCGAGAAGCGTTTGCACTTAGCTGACTATGGAAACGTAGGAACTGTGTCCCACGCCGAGTTGCAATGTGATCTGGTAAGGATGCATGACCGAAAGCCTTCAGCTAAACAAGTCCACTTAAACAACGTGGTCAGCATCCAATGTCGAACACTTATTGAGCTATTGACTTTGGGGAATTATTTACAGCTACAGATCACTCCCCCCCTAGTGAGGTAGTGATGGTTGAAGGGCAGCCGAAATTTTCTACCCATCGTTCGACGAAAGCGCGGGCCACGGTTTCAGCAGTAATGTCCTTAATCGGTACTGCTTCTGGCCATCGAGCAAAACGGTCTACGTATGTTAGGAGATATGGGTATACATGAGAGTCGGGTAATGGTCCTACCAAATCTAGATGGACGTGGTCGAAACAAGAGTCAGGGGTTTTGATAGAGCCTAAGGGACATTTGTTGTGTCTTATGACCCTAGATTTCTGACAGCTTACAAAGGAGCGTGCCCACTCCCTCACGTCTTTATTCATGCCAGGCCAGCAAAACCGTTCGGCTATAAGTTTGACTGTTGCACGAGCACCTGGATGAGAAAGATTGTGCAACGTATTGAAGACGTTGAGTCGATAATGTTTTGGTACTATTGGACGATCCCTATCTGTAGATGTGTCACAGAGTAAGGTTTCCTTACCTGTTCCCATCTGCTTAATACTTAGTTTTAGAGTTGTCGAGGATAACTCATGCTGAAAATCAATGTCTTCTTTTTGAAGCTGAGCGAGTTTAAGAAGGTCGATACCTTGGAAACTGTTCAAGGAACTTATTCCAGACAAGGCGTCTGCGACTATATCGTTAGCTCCAGAAATGTGTCGTATGTCTGAAGTAAACTGCAAAATGTAGTCGAGTTGTCGAGACTCTCGCGGTGAGTACTTGTCTGAAGATGAACTTAAGGAGAAGATAAGAGGTTTGTGATTGGTAAAAAGTGTGAATTCTCTTCCTTCTATGGAATGTTGGAAATGCCGTACAGCACAATACATAGCTAGGAGTTCCCTAACGAACGTGCTGTACCTAGATTCCGCGTCTAACAACCGTCTGGAGAAAGAATCCTAAAAGTTGTCAAGAGTTGTTAACCCATTGTTGTAAGACTCCTCCGATTGCTGAGTCGGATGCATCTACGGCGATACTAATGGGCGCTTGAGTGTCCTGATGAGTAAGCAGGGTTGCTTTAGCGATGTGTTCCTTAACTGTGGAGAATGCTTTACGGGCTATGTCGTCTAAACTATCATATGCTCGAATTCGTTTTTGGCTAACCTAAGTTTTTCGGGAGCGAGTCGACGGGCTTTTGAGAATACAGGTGGTCCTGTAGTCGAGATGTGATGTGTAACATTGCTGGTTACACAAGGCAATTTCGATTGCGATTGGTATATCCCGGGGTATTTGTCAAGTATTGATTGGTACAATGGATCTGTGGTGTGCTTAATCGTGACTGGGGATAACCTGCAACCACAACAAGGAGTTACGCAAACAGATAGTTTAGTGTTTCCATCTATTAACCTTGGCTTTCCGTTTGCCGCCTGTAAACTTAAAACAGACTCGCGAAGTCTGTCGTCGGAATTTGCTGGAAGAACGTTAACCTCTGCGCCAGTATCTACGAGGTAGCGAACTTTCGTTGTCACATCTGTGACGTATAACAGACGGCTGTGTTGGCCAGCTACGGTTGCCTTTAAGGCGTGCCGGCTGGGAAGTTTCCCTAACTGTCTTTCATGTCACTCGATTTGGGGGTCAGATAATTGCAGGGCTTCCTGCAATTTCTAGAGGATTTACCATACTGTTTGTGATACCAGCACCAGTCAAGGTTGTCTGTCTCTCGTGGTCGAGAGACAGATCTCTTACGTGAAACGATCCTACGTGAGGATTTTGACCAACTACGGTCATTACGAACTCTAAGATATCGTGTGTGTGACATAGTTCGGCCATGTCAGTCGAGGTCGATTGGGGTTTTCCTTTGATGGAAAAATCCTCGGCCTTAGAAAATTTGGTGATTTCCAAGATTCGATCTGCAGATGCAGCTAGTTCATCTATGGCATTGTTTTGAAATGAAACAAGCACTGCCTGCACCTGTTGAGGGAGTTTAGACAAGAAAAGTTGTTTAAATAGGCCATCATCGAAAGTTCGTTGGCCGATGACTTCTCTCATTCTAAGCAACATGTCCGTCGCAGAACCATGTTGCAAGTCGATATTGTTAAGGAGTTGGTCTAACCGTTGTCGATCAGTTAGGTCTCCTCGTTTTAAAATCGATAGCTTAAGCGTTTCGTAAGGTTCAGTAACATCACTAGTAAACATACTAGGTGTTACGTACCTGTTAAACCCGCGCGGTAGCGCCTTAACTACCGCGAGGAAACGTGTGCGCGAGTCCGTGATTCCGTGCATGCTAAAATCGGCTTCTGCATAGCAGAAGCAAGACTCGATATTGTCGGGCCAAAATGGAGTTAACTGAATCAAAATAAAAGGAAAAGACTTAAACTTAAG